AATTAATATTTTGTCATAGAGAGTCGCTGCTGTAAAAAGAGCACAGCTGCCACAAGGGATAGAGGAGAACTCAGCCACACTGCCACATCCAGTGAGGCTCCTAACGATCCTGGGTGAGAAAATACATCAATAAATGTGAAATAAACAGTCAAATACACAGAAAAGAAAATCCGTGTGAAATTTAATGAACATCAGTTGTAAATACATGACAAAAAATAACACTGAAGGGGTAGAATTCCACTAATGCAAGTCACTAATAAGTTACTCAAACTCAGGTGGCATCTCAGAGCCACACATTATTATACAACCTTTTCAGCACTGTAAAAACAGCAAAGAAAAACTGAAGACCTGCGAGTCTCTGTGTTGTTGTCTCTGGACTGTCCGGGGAGCAGTACTGAAATCATCTGCAGTTCACTCAGCCGGTGACCTCCGATCACACTGCCCAGCACAGACACAGGCCACACCCCTCCTGTCATGCGTTTCCACTCAAGGAACCCCAGACCCCGGCCCTCAGCGATAGTGAGCCCCACTTCCAGCAGAGCCACTCACATGGATGGTATTTTCTGCGGATCAACAGGGGTTTTCAACTCTAACCAGGACCGCAGAAAGCCGGTGCAGCTCTCAAAGCTGGACACAGTTACCAGCTGCATCTGAAACTCCGGCACACGCTGCAGGGGTGAGAGAGGAACGTGAGTCTAGGTGCTGGTCACCCTGCTCCCCTCACAGCACATCTGAACACAACTGGACTAAGCACACACCAGGTGAGGCCAGCAAGATCGCCTGGGTCGAGCCCTGTCCACCAGAGCTCTGTTGCCACAATCTCCGTTTCCTGGGAAGTGCAGTTGGATAAAAAAGTAGGACACCTAGAAGAGCACTGAGATCAGACACATGGTGGTCTTAAGCCCTCTGATAGAGAGACCGAAACTCAACATTAAAAAAATTGACAGTGACACAGTAAACATATTTATACATAATAAAAAATAAAGATGGATTGGAGGGTTCCCATATGTCTGAAGGCTGCCACAAATCATTCTTCTGTCTCGGCGGTAATCCACCAGTATGTGGTAACACCAGTGCACAGACACATCTTCCTCTCAGAATCATAACAGCAGGACAACACAGCTGCATGCAGACAGCTGGGCCAGACTGTCCTCTAGCCCAGTGTGTTCTGCTCTGAAGCTCTGTTTCTGCTCGCTTATTAAAAGCTGAAGTATTTCTTCAGCTGCTTATCAGAACTTGCTGGACTTCACAAGAGAACCTCCTCTTCGCCTCCCTTGACTCCTGCGTCTTCTGTTCATTTTCTCTCCGTTGCCACACGCATGGTGTCAGCAGTGGCATATTCCACAATGAATCCCTTTCACGTCTATAGCAGAACCTGGATCAGAGCTTAGCCAGAGCCGAATGTGAGCTGGTGGTCAATGTCCAGATGGCCCCACTTCCAGGACTCTGCTTTACAATCTGATTCAATGACAGCAGTAACACCCACGAATGGAATGTACAGCAGTTCCATCGAGCCCAGGTTCATCACTAGCATGGTTTTGGATAAGGGCCAACACCTGTCGAATTTTGCCTTATTTTTACAGACAGGAGAACAGAAGGTTAAACATTACAGAAACAGATTTGCTTTTCCTCTCCATCAGTTCAGTCTTCAGCTCAGGAAAAACTTTAACTTAAACTACTGTGCATCTGGGCTGTTGCCAAAGAGAGATCAGGGTTATGAGACAAGAGGCTCAGAAGTGAAGGAGAAAAATGCTAATTTGTGCCTGCTGCTCCGCTCACACTTGGAGCTGAAGATTCAGGTTAAGGATTCAAACATCATTCAACATCCATGTGAGAGAGGGGATGTCTCAAGTAAAAGATTAAAAAACTTATTTTTGTAGTATTTACATGATGATGAACTCACAACTGCAGCTATTAAAGCAGTCCAACCCCTTCCTGGGCTTCTGAATTACCAGTGTGTGTACACTGAGCTCCACTGCCCCCACGTTTCCTTCCCTACAGACCCCCCCCCTCCACCATTCCCATACTCCCATTTCTTATTGTGGATCGTTGGTCGTTGCTCCCACGATGCCGTGCTGTCTGAGCTGGTTTCGCAAAATCTGGTTCTTGGATTTCCACTCCTCTACCTGGAACAAGGTAGAGAAACAAATTAACTCGGGGCACAGCTGGATGCAGCCCCTTGATCATACAAGGGCATTGTATGGGCATACAAGGGCATTATACCAATATACTGTGGAGACAGTGCGTGCATGTCTTAGTGAAGATGTGTGTGTCTGTGTAGAGC